TAGAGAAATACACAGCTAGTTCGTATGCGGTTATGTTCATCATGATTTTGTAGATGTAACGCTTGACTGGTTTTCGTAGGTCGTAGGGGAAATAATTCTTAAACATGGCATAAGCCACCATTAAGCCTGCAAAAGTAGAGCCTGCTCCTGTCATCATTTCTCTAATGGTAAACAACATTTTGGTGCTTATGCTCTTTTTCTTTTTTACAAACACTCTTGGATATCTGATTCACGAGCTTTGTTTTTGCCGTTATATATAGGAGCTGCTGCTGCATCAGTTGGAGGTAAGTCTACATATTGGTCTTTTTTTAATGTTGATTACATGCAGAGACGAAAATTATCAACAATCATTTGTGTTTTAATATCTCTTTTAACATTATATGCTTTTGGTAAGCATCAGTAATATATTGTTCCTAGTGCCGACCAGTGGCCATTGAAGATGAAGAGAAGGTGCTTTTCATGCACATTGGGGCCTGGTTTTGTGAAAGAAATACAACAGAACGAATACGAGTACTTTTCAAATGAATTTTATCCCATCCCACAGACTTAAAGTCATATTAGATAATAAACAATTCAGATTCCTGTAAACTTCGCTGTCTCATGATCTCATTGAACACTTTATCGTAATAGAGACTAGCATTGACATCATCTTCATTACATCGCTGTGAATTTAAAATCTTAAGTGGTTGGTTTGGTTAGCAATCGCCCTCTTCCTTTTCTTCGGTTTCATCGGAGTAGAGAGACATGATCCTGGCTTGCATCCACAAAATAGATCCATCTCTATTACAAATCGACAGAAAAATGTAAGATTTGCATAAAGTCAGAAGATTGAGGTCATATACAAACACAGCTATGTGTACAGAAAAATGCTGCCGGACAGGATACACTTGTGCAGTTTTCTACTGGACAATGCAAAAAAAAGGACCAACCAGGTGTAACATCTGGTGAATTCTGGCAACATTGATTCTGTACAAGCAGATAACTTTGATGATATATAGTATAACCTAGTCACGATTTAACAGAAACATAGTAAACCATTGTCATTCGTGCCTTAGGGTAGCACTTAAAAAATGAGTAATTGTATAACATTCTTGCAAATTTTTTATTGGTAAATGTAAATTACGATAGATCAAAACTCATGTACAAGTACACGGATCATACTTGGGCAAAACAATGATCCAACGATGTATGAACGACAAAGATCTAATGACCCAACGCTAGAGATTCAAAATGAATCAAAATATTAGGATACAACAAAAACATGACTTTGTAACTTAGGGTTCTTAGGCTATATATAATCACTTAAAAATTGAGTCAATTGAGCAATCCTCTTATTGACCCAATACGGATGTTGTATAAGTTCATTTCAATACCTAGCGTGACAGGATCCTTTAGCCTTCGGAAGAGTCTGTGCCCATGTCACCATTCTCGGATTTTTTTCGCATCCTCCAAGATTCAAACTGAAGACTTCAGCTTTATGAAAGACCAAGATTCAACTTAAGCCTCTTATAAGGCAAATGTCTTGAATTCAAATATGAGAAAGAAATTTGTGGGTGATAAGATGAATATTGTCTCTTTTAAAGTGAACAATATATATAAGTTAACACAGGCATGATTCGTTACTCTATGCATTCTTCAAACATGTCAAAAATTTAAGGCATCAAAAATTTCTGTCAAAACTTACCATCAATGTAAAAAGTATCAGCAGAACTATTGGTGCAGTGATTGTTTGTTGTATACTACACGCTGAATCTAATATGCCCTGGTTCGAGCCTCACTTGTGACAAAAATTGAATTTTGTAAGAATGATTTTTTGAGAATATAAGATTAAAAAGTAAGAATTTTTTTTGAACTTACGTGCGAATTATTTTATTAGGAGAATGTATAGACAGAAATCAGTTTTAAAAAAATTAAGCTTTCGAATAATGGAGCTCAAACGGGGCTATATAAACATCTATTTTGTAATGTACGATTTTTACTTAATTTCAGTAAAAGAAATATGTTCTTTTTGACAAGGAGAAATCAACTTGCATAGAAAAATTCACAGAAATGCAACAGAATAGAGACAAAGGGGGTCCCACCGTGTGTTTAAAAAGAAAAAAAAATGTGCGAGCCCCCACCCGTGTGTGAGTATTCTGTTGGAATTATGTGGAATTTTTTTCCGTGCGTGCAGCACATCACTTTTGATAATTATGTGATGTTAAAGAAGTTGAGCCTTGTGCAGTAGGTGTAGCCTTATTTGAAAAAGCGGAACGTGCAAGAAAAGTTTGAAAAATGTACCTTTCTAACTTTTGCAGATTTCTTTTTCCTTCAAAAATCCAAACAGTAGCAGAGGAAAACTATCCCAGTCCCAGATCAACTTACAAGATCGAATGGAAGTATATCTTCTTTTTACAGGTAAATTCCGTGAGCGAAGTATGTTTTTACAACAGAGTCAATCGGTCAAGTAATTCAGGCTTGTTTGAGCCCCCTTTTTTGCAAAAAAAAAAAAAAATATACCTTTTGTAATAGTGTTATGATGGAGAATGTGTGATTAAAAAATAAGAAAAAATTTTGAGTTTACGTATAATATTATTTTATTGAAAAATGTATGATTGTAATATAATCAAATCACTATTCAAAAATGCATTTTAATGAAAAAACGGGGCTCCAACAAAGGCGATTTGAATAGTTTTATTTCAATAAGGTAATTCCATCACTTGGACCTGGTAAAAATCGATAATATGGCAATTAACCGTGACGGTCATTGTTTATTTCATAGAAAATGTATTTATCTCATGCCAACAACTAACGTCCACGTATGTTGATCGTCAATAATTGACTATCACGAACATCAATTTTCGTCATTGAAATTTTACCGAGTTACTTTGATTGAAACCAAATTAAAGTGTTGTTATTTAATGAAATTAATTTAATTGAATAAAATTGAAGTACAATTACATAATCATTTTACTTTTAGAAGATTTCCAATAGACTCTCAAAATACAAAATGTTCTACATTTTAAAGAGATAATGCTCAAAAATAAACTCTAATAAACTTAACTTTTAAAAATAGAGAGTGAATTTGATTCTTCAAATTTAGAGAGTCGAACTCACTCTCTATTCTTAATGTATCATGATTGCATTTAATAAATCATAGATTTCATTAAACCACAATTTAAAATGTTCAAATCACATTTAAATTGATTGGTTATTGAATATAAAAATTTATCTTAAATAAAATACGATGAGGAATCAATAAATGTTTTCTTGAAAAAAAAATTAAGAGTCAAAATATAGAACATTGCTGGATTATATAAAATTTGATTATAATCTAGATCGACGGCTACAATTGAAAACATTTTTTTTTTTTTTGGTTGAAGGCAAGAACAGAAAATTTCTACTACATCAACATTAATCTGATACATATTGGCTGAATTCATCAACTTATTGCTGCAAATCATTGAATCCATCCCCATTTTCACATAATACCATCAATGAGAGACATCTTCATTTTCTTTCACACCATTAGCCGCCGAATGTTTAGCATCTTCACCATTTTCTTTCACTTCTCCTTTAACACCTTCTTTACCATTTTCTTCTTTCTCTTTCTCAACCTTTAGCTTCTCTTCTTCCTCAGCTTTGGCTTTAGCTTCTTCCTCGGCTTTGGCTTTAGCTTCTTCCTCGGCCTTGGCTTTTGCTTCTTCCTCAGCCTTCACTTTTGCTTCTTCCAGAGCAGTGATCAATCTCAACAGACAAGCTACTTCATCCTCTTCAACTGATTTAGGCATTAAGTTTTCTGCAACATCAGCAGGAGTCATTTTGGTTTCCTCTAAGAGGTTATCAATCCTGGAAAACAGTTTATGAGATTCAAGGTCCAAATAATTCTTTGCTAAAACTTTGAATGCCTCAAAGCTACAGTATGATAATTCTATATGTTTATCCATTCTTCCTCTCCTAATCAAAGCAGGATCTAGTTTTTCCACATAATTCGTTGTAAAAACAATTATCCTCTCCCCACCACAAGCTGACCATAGGCCATCGATGAAATTCAGAAGCCCAGATAATGTAACCTGACTATTCTGGTTTTCCTCCCGCTTTTTAATCTCCGCCTTAACTGGATCCTTATCCTTTTCTTCTTTCTTTTCATCCTCTGTCTTCTCCTTCTTCTTCTTCCTTTGGCCAGTAAGATCGAGTGAACAATCAATGTCTTCTATTACAACAATAGATTTACTCGACGTGTCTATCAGCAATTTTCTCAGCTCCGTGTTGTCCTTAACTGCCGTCAATTCAAGATCATAGACGTCATATTTCAAAAGATTAGCCATGGCAGCGATCATGGTGGACTTCCCAGTTCCAGGTGGACCGTAGAGGAGATATCCCCGCTTCCATGCCTTGCCAATCTTGGCGTAATAGTCTTTCGCCTTAGTAAATCTGATCAAATCTTTGATAATTTCTTCCTTCTTGTTCTGCTCCATGGCTAAAGTATCAAAACTTGCTGGATGTTCAAATATCACATGGCTCCACTTGGATCTCTTGTATCCGTGCCAACTATCACTCTTATTGTTAGTGTACAATTTCCTCTGCCTTTCTTTAACAGCAATCTCCTTTCCCTCATTCAAAACATGTTTCAAATAAGAGTTGGTGATTATATCCCTATATTTCTTGTGGAAAGTGAGTGTGAAATACCTGCTAGCATCTTCCCTCGGATAGAACGAAATCGACTGCCTGTCGGGAACAAAATGGTTGGAAGCCCACCAAAGCTTGGTCCCCTGGAATTCATCAGTGACCTCTTCGTTATCTGCCATGCTAAGAACTATAGCCTGGCTGTCTTCTACAACGTTGGCCTGTAGATGCTTCGCCTGCTTCGAGGAATTCTTATTCAAATACCTTTCGATTGCAGCAAATGCTTTGCTACGTTCGAACCCATCACCCTGATATTCTGAAAACGTAATCACGATGTAAGGATAGAGCACACTCATGATCTTGTGGCTGTAACGCTTCAGAGGTTTTCGGAGGTCATAGGGGAAATAATTCTGAAACATGGCATAAGCCACCATTAGGCCTGCAACTGCAGAGCCTGCTCCTGTCATCATTTCTCCTATGGTAAACAACATTTTTGTTTGTCTTTTCCAGATATTCTTTAGAAATCTGATTTATGAGCTTCACATTGTTGCCTGTATATATAAGAACTGAACTAGCTGGAGTCCAACTTGGTGAGCGAGTCTTTTGATTAGTCCTTTTCTAATATTTGTTAATTATGCCCAGATGATATCAATTGTTAGGAATTCAAGAATCACTTATTGCTCGATACTACTTGATATGAAACTAACTATCGGATTGAGATGTTTAAGTTATATGACACAATGAAGTATTTGATCACAAGTAAAAGAATAAAATAAGACAAGAAAATATGACAGATGAATTATGAGATTTTATTGCACCACAAATAATGAAGATGGAGAAATATTACAATAATCCGAAAAGTTAGTAATTATTTTTCTCGCACAATAAAATTGTATAGAATAGCCTAATATTTATAAGGAATATGTAGGGCGACATCCAAACCCTACTAGATGAGTTGTAGTTGAAGTAAAATGTCAAAAAACGTGTTGAAACGCGAAAAGTGTCTGGGTCGGATAACCATGTCGCTCGAGCTATAAACTAGTGATGGTCAGTCGTTCAAGTGCCGAGGGGGCGACAGGCGAGTGACCAAGTCTCGAGAGAGAACCTCCAAGTGTTGCTCAAGAGGCCAGCTAGCGGTAGGCTAGTGAAAATGCGGCAATTTTTCTTCCTGGTCCACCTCTTCAAATCCAATACAATTCAAACTCCCAATAGGACTTTCAAAAAGAATTTCAACTGAAATAAAACTCCAATAACATTCTAAAATGAATTTCTCATGCGTGCACTTCCATGAAAATTCTTCAATTACTTAAAGAAAAAATTCGAATGACACACAAATTCTAACAATATGTATGACATGGAAACTTCTCTTAAATTACAATTCTTCACGTGGTATTGGTCTTTCATAGCTTTTTGACTAAAAGTGGTACATTATTTGTCACGATTGCTACCGAAAGGCCAGTGACTGTAGCCAATGAAGATGACGAGACAGTGTTGAGATTGAGGCCCCGCCTCTTAAACCATACGCCATAGACTTCAAGTCAATATCAAATGATAAACAATTCCAGGAAATTGAGTGTCTCATGATCGCAATTTGAGCATTTCAAACCCAAATTGAACACTGCATCTTCTTAATAAAAAGCAGCACGGATCGGCATCATCTTGCTTACATCACCGTGGATATATTAATTAAACAAATATTTAAACAAGAAAATAATAGATCAGGTCTTTCTGTCAAAACTAGCTATAGCTCGGTTAATTTTCTTCCCGTCTTCCCTTTGTTCGGCTGCATCAGCAGAAATATAAGCCACATCATCCTCCACTTGCGGCAAAACCAAACTCATTTACCCGTTTCCTGTCCACAAAAAAGATCCATCTCTGATATATATATATATATACACACACACAACAAAAATGTAACATCTGCAGGAAAAAAGAGAACGGTCATGCATATAGATCATTTTAGTTGACACACAAAAAAAAAAACCATCTTTCAAACATGTCTTCAAGGCATGCTAAATTTTGCATTGGGACTCACCATCATGGAATACAGAAGTTCAATTTAGGGTCTGTTTGGCACCAGGGGCGGGCGCAGAACTTTAAATTTGGGGGACACAATCGAACTTGCAAAGAAGGTGGTAGAAGTTTTACAATCGAAAATTTACGT